CCTCATGTTCCGTACTCTTCTCTCACTATAGTTCATATTCCATTGAGTCTTCATAGCTGTCCAATTCTTTAGCAACTGGTTGCTCTTGGATTCTAATTGTATGACATCAATTTCCATGAAAAACAGACAAAGTAACAAATTGCAACATATTGAACTGAAAGTTGAGGAGAACTGAAACAAGAGTGTACGTAGATGATGTCTGAAGAGTCACTGAGTATTGTGGTGATCCACTATGCATCAAGAGACTTCAACACAAGGGCCATAAAAGTGGTCATGCAGGGATTTTCACTCGGTCGTGGAGACAAGCTTACACTTCTTGTAATTCTTCGCCAAGCTTATAGTCCCACTAGGCTTCCCTTCATTGCACCTGCAAAATTGCGTAAGTGTCACATTCTTTGTTATTTCCCTTCTTCATAATTCAATTTCTTGTTGTGTATTCATTTAAGAAACAATCCATGACTTTTTGTTACATGGATTTGAGCTTGAATTCTGACAAGTTCTTTAATTATATTGGCTACCCCTTTTCTTATTAATAACTTTTTTCTTCACATAGTTTAGTCTTGAGAGATAATTAATATTATAGATATAGTACTTTGGTGTTTCTCATAAATTTCTTATGTATTGGCTTTCTTGTCTTCAGGTGGATTATTTGAGACTGATCACAAAATTGTTGAGGAAGAAGTTGCTAAGAAGAAAGAAGAGCTTCTTAATAATGCAAGCTTAAGGGAAATTTCTGAGTTGTGTGAAGCAGACATGGTTAGATTATAAAACTTCTTGTCTTTATAACAGCAATCCATGTAGCTGATAAAATCCATCATCATATTGTATATGAATTATGGAATAGGTTCCCTGAAAATGATGTCATGGTCAATTTTTTATATCACAGGAAATTCAGTATAAATTGTACTAGATTTGTTATTTAATAATTTGGTTGTCTAGACAAAGATATGTTGTCTAATAGAATCCATTTATGAACGAAACTACTCAGATTCAATTCCGGATAGAAGTTCTGCAGGGTAAATTACCAGAGGTTGCGGTAAATGCTGCCATCCGTCTGGAGGCAACATCAGTGATAATTGATAGGTTAGTCATATTATTTTAATTTTCCATTTTCTATTTTCAATTTTCTTTATATTAAAATCTAAGAATATTGAGGAGAAAGGCCTCTTGTTCTTACCCTTCTTACATAAATAAAAATTAAACTTACTACAAAAGGAGTTCATGGTTGTATGTGAAAGTATTTGTCGAGAGAAACTATCCAGCTCTTCATCATCTTGTTACTTTCAGAAGGAAAGTGTTTCTTGAGTTACATAATTTGTAAAGGCTATTTATTTTATGCTGCTAACATCATAAGCATTGAAATTGACAGCTCAAGTTTTTGTATAATTGTCTTTGTGGCATAAATGTGATCATGTTTTATTGCTTCATACAAATTGTAATGTCACAAAACATAAAAGCATGTTCAAGCTTCCTTGCTGTGTTTGAATTGGTTGATGTGCAGACAGATGAAGAAATATAAGAAGGAATTCAAGCAGAGTCTCTTTTGTTCTTTGCTAATAACGAAACGTGACAACTCTGTGCAACACTTGAGAGGGCCAAGGGAAACACATCTGTGTGATGGAAGCAATGGAAATGCAAGATGTGTTAGATGTAAGGAACTTACTCCATATAGTTCATCTTAGAATCCTTGATTTCCAATTTGTGAATTAATTGTGTTCTACTATAGTCATCATCACTGAACCATATTTTAATGAAATCATGATATATATAGAACACGAGAGTTAAAGCATCCAGTCATAACATACATTTATCAATTCCAAGATCAAAAATAAAAGGAGTTTCTTCGCTTTTATTTTTTCAAATCTGTAATTTTCCAAATCTTCAAGACAGAATACTCATTTATGTAGTTGAAAACTTACAAAATACTATTTCTTTTTGAGTATGTCCACCATATTTCAATTCATTTAAGGAGAATTCAAGGATATTGAAAAGTTGATGCAATGGTGTGTGAAGCAGGTCCTAATTCTAAATCTCCTCCAAGAATACGGCAAGTGACAAATTCCTGCTCCAATACCAGCTCTTCCTTTCCTACTCTTGCAAAGGGTGGTTGCCCCCAACCCCAACTTTATTCTCAAATAAAACAAATCCCTGAAAATAGAGTACAAGACATGGAAAGAGGGTATTGCCTACTATCCATTACTGATACTCAAAAGACTAATCATACTGAAGAGTATAACATAGAAACACCAGCAGAACATAGCAACAACCCTGAAGCATATCAAATAGTTGAACAATTCAAAAATTCTGTTTGCTCAGTGTGCAAGAACAGAAGACCAAAATTTGAAGTGATGAAAGAATTCACATACGCAGAGCTGCATGAAGCTACACAAGGTTTTTCACCAAAAAACTATTTGTCCGAAGGAGGATTTGGTTCTGTCTACAAAGGAAGGCTGCAAGGAGGATTAAGGATTGCTGTTAAGCAACATAAGTGTGCAAGCCTCCAAGGAGAGAAGGAATTCAAATCTGAGGTCAATGCACTCAGCAGAGCTATACATGAGAATGTGGTCATGCTGCGTGGATCTTGTTCAGAAGGAAATAACAGGCTTCTGGTGTATGAATTTATTTGCAATGGCTCTCTTGACCAACATTTATCACGTAAGACAATTGATTTTAGAAATAGATACTACTATATGGAGAATGAAAATGAATAAATCTTTTGATATGATTATTTAAAATTGAAATGCTAACTAAGACTACAATAATGCAGAACACTCACGTAGGCCACTTACTTGGAAAGAAAGGATCAAAGTAGCTATTGGAGCTGCAAGAGGCTTGTTGTACTTGCATCAGAACAATATAATACACCGAGATATGAGGCCTAGCAACATCCTTGTTACACATGATTATGAAGCAATGGTAATAAACCATATAGCTTTAGAGAATAGTAATTTCATTTGAAAATACCTTAGACTCGCCGACTTTAAGCATATATGATATTCAAACTTAGAGAACTTGTATTGATGATTCACATTTCTTGTATAGAATGTTATTATGAAACTTCTTCGTTTGAAACTTAGTTATGAACCAAGTTTTATGACTAGTATATGTGAGCATCACCTATAATGAACTTGGAAAATATGATAAATGGTCAAGCTATATTTGGATCCTTCCATGAATTGTTTAATATATTTATTGCTTCTGCAACATCGAGTAACTGGAACTTTTACACATTTATCAGCTTGGAGATTTTGGTCTGGCTAGAACTGAACAAATGGACTCCTTATACTCCACAGATGTTGTTGGAACTATAGGGTATTTGGCACCAGAATATGCAGAGTCAGGAAAACTGTCAACCAAGACAGATGTGTATGCTTTCGGTGTGGTTCTTCTTCAGCTAATAACTGGAATGAGGACTGCAGACAAACGTCTTGGCGAAAAAAGTCTTGTGGGATGGGTAACAATTTAAGTAAAACAGTACTTTAAAATTTTAATAAATATATCCTATTTTATATATGAGTTTTCTTTTATGACAAAACTAGGTAACCTTATTGTTACAAATAATAAAAACAGTATCTCTGATTCCCAAGACATTTGGCAAACCTTGTTAAATCCTGTCTTTGTATGTGTGCATGTCTATTATGTTCTTCTTTATAACTTAGTTTCCATTTCTGACTGTAATACTAGAATTGATGTTTTCAAACTCAAGGTAAAATAAATTTTTCCATGCCATGTTACAATTTTACTTGGCATTTCCTTACATCATTCCAATGTATGTGTTCCTTTCAATCACTAACCCTCTTGCTTTCTTTCAGGCTAGGCCACTACTCAAAGAAAGGAACTATCCAGATCTACTTGATGAAAGGATGTTGGATAATCACGATTGCCATCAGCTTTTCTGGATGATTCGTCTGGCAGAAAAATGCCTCAGCAGGGATTCTCAGAGGCGATTATCAATGGATACAGTAAGTCTAAACCAGTGAGTTTCTCTAAGGATATGATGTTATTGGACACTCTATTGACACTTTGAATACTCTTGGAGATATTTTATATTCTTCTATTGTTCCTTTTTAAACATTTAAGCCGACATAGATAAAATATCTTACAGAAAGAAAGAAGGAAATTTTAAAATAAAGTCTTATAATTAGAGGAGAGATTATGTCAAGTGTATTCTCTATACCGACTTGTTGTATATATATGTGGTTGCAGGTGGTGAATGCCTTAACTCATATACTGGAAGGCAACACATGCAGTGTTGTTCTAAGAGACTGCTCTCCAGCACAATCAGATTCATCATATGACATGTCAGACTTGCTTATCCCAGATACCTCACAGGAGATAGAAGGTGAAGATACAAGCAACTATGCAGGATATGCTTCTATGTGCTTTAGACCACCACCATCTCCTCCACTAGGAAGCACTTCCTCAAGTACATCAAGCGTGTTCACAGGGCTGAGTGAATCTCCTATAGATGATTTGTCCAATAATAAGAATAAGGGTATAAGGGCAAATGAACAAGGTGGGATACTCTAAATCATTATGGTCTTGTTTGTTCTTAAGATAATAATAAGATAGGCTATCCACTGTATAAGTAAAATTAAAAGTATCCTCTTTTCAGTATAAATGATGTCTTGTTGCTTAATTCCTTAAAGAAATTGTTTCCAGCTCTCGGTTATATTTTGTATCAAGGGAAAAGTTGAATTTCAACATTCTGATAATATACAGAAGAAAAAAAATACCACTTGGCAAATGATCATTGAACACGAAAAACCACAGCATAATTGTCCATAATTTTTTTCCAATATCACAGAACATGTGACTTCAATTTAAATCATCGATTTAAATGATTAAAAGTTCATTAGATTTTAACGTGAATATTTAACTAAATATAAGCATCGTTATTCAACTTCAAAAGTGAATATCGAAAATTGAAATTCTTGCACGTAAAACAGAACACTAAAAGGACAATGAGTTGATGCATGATGAAAGTGATCTAATAGATATTAGAATATTTTGCACTAAATTTCAAAGATTGTGGAGAACTGGAACCTGACGACAATTTAGGCACATGAGAATTGGTGCATTGGTAATTTCCAACTTGTGTTTCGTCTTATATGTTCACTCGTTCTCTGTCAACCATTATGTATTTAATGTGTGCAATCTTTTGCCAGTCTTCACCTTCTTGTTTCTTGCAGCGCTGTTTGATCAACGGGCAGCCTTCAACTCTAAGTTTTGAAATGGATTTGGGCAGACCCTCCTCTGGCAAGCATTGGAGTATAGGACACTTATAAAGAAACAATTTCTCAAGAGAGAGCAGGTGACAGAGACCCCTATAATCCAGTTTCTTAAGATTTGGACAATCATATATCTCTAGATTAGTAACAGAGAGTGGGAGCAATCCGTCACTTGGAAAACAGTCCTCGTCCACTTTGCCAATAGACAAGGATTTTAGGGAAGGGTTGGTTCCCCAAGGACCCTTTAGTGAGGCAATAAGTTTGGAGCAATTGAAGAGACACATTTCACTTAGATTTGATGGCAAACATCCGTCGGAAACCTCCACATCTGGACAATTATTTATATACAGAAGATTAAGAGATGGAAGAAGCACAGACATGCGTTTAGGCAATGATTTCAATTTCTCCAATCCTATAATATAAAAGCTCTCTAGCTTCCGGGCAAATAATCCTTCATTGGGAAAATATTCAAATCTAGAGCACTTTCCAATCCGCAGAATCTTCAAATGATTAAGAGGGTGCCCCTGTGTTATCATCTGTAGGTTAGGACACTCCGATAACTCAAGCTCAGAGAGTTTTGGGAAGAAATCTAGAGGAAAGTTTGTCAGAGAGTCACAACCACCACCGATATGCAATTTTTCAAGGAAATCAAAGCAATGGTTGATAGGAATATTCATATTCGGACAAGAAAAAATGGTGAAGGATTCAAGAGAAGCATGCGATATGATATGGCCAAGCCTTTCAAGTAATGATGCCTCCATGTTGTCACCTCCAATCTGGAGCCTTTTCAATGTAGTTGGATTATAATCAATTTGCAGCTTTCCACAGTCTCGCAGTTGTAATTCACAAATTTCTAGGGTCCTGGGAGCAAGAGTCACAAGTTGTTTGCAGTCCTCAATAATTAGTTTCCTTAAATGAGAAAGTTGTTTTGGCAATTGTCCTTTCAGCTTGGGACAATTAGTCACAGAAAGACTTTGAAAAATCACCTGTCCTACATTGCCATTCTTCCCATTCCTTCATATCAGCAAAGTTTAACGTTTGCAAGGATGCAAATGCAGAACAACTATTCCTGTAAAAATCAGCATCTATCGTCCGTATCCAATCATGCCCACTAATTGTCAGGTGCCTAAGAAATGTCAAGAATTCGAGGGAAGGCAACAACAGGCAATGTTTACAATTGATCAAGCTTAAGGACACTAGATTCGATAATGAATTATCAGATAACCAATGTGGAAATTGTATGCCACCATAGTCACTGATTGACAACTCCTCCAAATGTCTGGAAGGCTGCAAATTCTCAAGTATTTCTCTTTCTTTCATGAAATTCACAAGGTTCTGCTCCAAATCCCAGTGCAAATTTAACCGTACCAGACATGTTTTACTCTTCAAATCTGCTGCCAATGCATCCATGGGATTCACAGTGTTCTGCAGATCCTTAATTAATAGATCTCCATGAAGACTGAGTTCTCCTAACTGTTGGATACATAGCTCACTACTTTTGCCAACATTGAAAGGACTCATGAATATTTCAAGATTCTTCAGTTTTCCTATATGCATTGGCATCTTTGTCAGACTGTTTTTCATAAGTTCAAGACAACACAAATTGGTTAGTTTATGTAAATTACAGGGCAGCTCCTTCAAATTCACACAACTGTTCAGCTTCAATGTTTGTAAGTTACATAGTGAACACATTGTGTCGGGCAGCTTTTGAATTCCAGTATTTGAGAGGTCTAAAAACCGGAGATGTATAAGATTGCCTATAGTTTCAGGTACCTCTTTAAGGTTAACACAACCACAAAAAGATAAAACGTGTAAGCACTTCAACTTAAATATCAACTCAAGCGTCAAAGTCTCACAATACCAAGACCAATAAGATATCCTAGTTACAGGCAAAAATGTCCGTAGCCCTTTTGCATCATATAAATTCTCGTACTCATTACATGATACTCCATAGTCATCAATAACAAATGAAAAGTGGCGTGTTTCCTTCAGTGTTCTCTTTGCTCTATCAATTCCAAACCTGAAACAGATGTCACCAGAAACATATTTTGCCAAATCGTTAAGAAGGTCATGCATGACAAAACATGATTTGAAGCCTTCACTGGATTGTTGAAAGAAGCACCTTGATAATAGAACATTGAAGTAATGTTCGCCAACTTCTTCCTGAGACTTACTCTGTTGAGAGCGTTGAAGAAAATTTTCAGCCATCCATAACTGAATTAAATTCTTCTTGTCAAATTCATGATCTTTAGGAAACATGGCACAGTAAGAGAAACATCTCTTGAGATAGGAAGGAAGATGGTAATAACTCAACAATAGGGCAGGGATGATTTTGCTATCTTCTTCAGGGAAGTCCCATATCTCGCTTGACAATACACTTTTCCATTCTGCAACAGAAGACTTTGAGCGTAAAAGACATCCAACTGTTTCCAAGGCTAGAGGCAATCCTCTGCACTTTTCAACTATCTTTGTACCAATCTCTTTCACCTCAGCATTCATCTGGGAATTATCATCTTGGAATGCATGTTTAGCAAAAACTTGCCAGCTGTGATCTCCACCTAATTGCTTCAGTTCATGTAGTTTATTTGATTGCACGATAGAAGCAACTCTGTTACTGCGTGTGGTGACAAGAATTTTACTTCCCTTAGCCCCATAATTGAGAGGAGTTTGCAAAGCTTTCCACTGGGCTCGGTCTTCGTTCCAAACATCATCCAGAACGACAAGAAACCTCCTTCCTGTCAGTTTTTCTTTCAATCTTCCTTGAACCATTTCTAGGTCTACACTATCATCTTTTGATTTCGTGAGTACCCCAAAAATTGTTTTTGTCAACATTAAAACATCAAATTCATCTGAAACATAAACCCAACCTTTGATAGCAAATTTACCCTCTATCCTTGGGTCATTGTACACATGTTGAGCAAGTGTTGTCTTACCCAACCCACCCATACCCACGACAGACAGTATAGATAGTTGGCTATTGTGAGGCCCTAGATAATTAGCACTAAAAATCTCTGTCACATCAAATTAATGCACTGATGAGTCACCTGACTGCTCTCATTAATGCACTGCGCCACACACACAGTCTCATTAAAAACGCACTTCGCACCACATGCACGAGCGCCACCTGTCACGCTAGAAGTTTCGGAAGTCAGTAGTGGGATACAGGTGTCAGCAGGGGAGACGTTCGTCCATTTTGACTTGGATTGAACAAAACTGAGTTTTTGGAAAATCTCTCCCTCTCACCTGCACGCACTCATCTCTTCCTCACGAAACTCTGGCCTTTCATTTTCTCCAACTTCTCTCTAGAACCTCCCAAACTTTTCTCTACTGTAACTCTTCACCTTCTTCTCCGATCACGTTTCAGAACCGTAGGAACGTTCGCCCAACTGCAAGCTACCAACTGGACCGAACAGTTTCAAAGGCTGAAACTGGTAAGTCTCCTTTAGTAGTTCGTTCTAGGGTTTCTTGAAAAAAAACTGCGTTTTGGCTGCATGCAAGAGTGTATTCTAAGTCCTGTGATTTTATTGTGGCTAGATTTGTTTTGAAAGAGTAAAGTGATATTGAGGGTAGCAAAACGTTAGTTGAACGAAGCCACCAATCTTGCACTTAGGATAAAGTTGCTTACAAATCCGGGTAAGGGAAGCTTATATGTTTAATTTATACCTGCATGTTGTATGATCTGATTTGGATGTATGAACAGTGTGTTGTTTGAGCTGTTATGAACGATCACTGATATTGTATATGTTTTCTGTTGGTTGAAATGCATGTTGATTTGGATACGTATGAAAGTTGTATGATTATAGTATAGTTGGATTGATTAATATGATGAAATCTGTATAGTATGAGAATTTATCTTGGATATGAATTTACGAAGTAAGAATCACATGAGAAAGGTTGAGTTAAATTAGTTGAAAAATCAGGATATGATAATTTTCCTATGATAAATTACGTTCGTCATCGTACGGTCTTATACCGTTCGGTTTCCCTGAAAAAGACTTAGAGTAGAATTCTTTCATTTGGGAAGAATTCGGTTTGAGAACGAGCGTCCTCATTTGAAATACTATGTTTGAGCGTTCGGTTCAGCATAGAGTTGTCGTACGCCTTAAATTAAATAATACTAAATTAAGTAACGTTCGGTCTTATACCGAACGTTCGTCCTGAATAGCGCACGGTCTTGTACCAAGCGTTCGTCATGATTGATGCTCGGTCATCTACCTAGCGTTCGTATTAATGAAGTGTTCGGTCTTAGATTGAACGCTCGTCCTATCTTTGATTCCTTAACGAACGTAAATAGCGTTCGTCCAAATACTTAATAAATGTATATTGTCGCGTTCGGTCATTGACTGGCAGTCGACCCCTTTTAAACAAAAGGTTCTCATTGTAGTTAAGTATTCTTCTTGATGTATCTTCGTCCAGTAGAGTCAACCTGAACTCTTGGTACTTAAAATATTCTGAAAATGGTCTTATTATTCTGGAGTCGTTCTGATTAAATCTGGTTTTGAACGTTCGTCCTCTTCCTTCAGAAAGTTGAACGTTCGTCTTTTTAAGAGAGTGGAATATAGAATGAAAATGTGGTAAATATGAAAGGTTAAGGTGTTTGAACACTATATTAAATGATTATACGATTATGGAATTTGAACGAGCGTTCCAAGGAGGAACGTCTCAGATATGTTAAATATTAAATTTGGTAAAGTATGACTGTGGATAAGTTAAGACTCGCTGTCCATCCTGATATTCAGTGATTACTCTTCTCACGTAGAGAGGGTAAGTCATGCGTGTGAATGGCAGGAGGTCCTTAGTCCATAAGTTAACATGGGCGACGTAAGAACGGACTAACCTCGAGTGGCAGCTGTTTAGGTGTATCCCGGTTACTACATCACTCGAGTGCAAGGACGCTTGTAACTACACAGATCATACCGTCCGGACGGTCGTCATATATATATATATATATATATATATATATATATTTATATAATGTTACATGATTGTTATATGTTAAAACTATGTGCTTGTGTGGAATGATATGTTTATTGTATGTGTTGATGTATAATTTAAATTATATAAGCTTACCCTTTCGTTTTTCCTTGTGTTGTCTACTGTCTATGTACGTTCGTC